CGAAACATGGGGACACAAGCTTGCATAAAGTGACGAGTCTGTTTTGTATGTCGATTTGATCCCTTCTGGTATTTTGTAGACTCAGGGATAAAGTCGCATTCATCGCTGAATTTACTCAGCCCTTCCAATGCCTGATTTTATTTTATTGTCTAGTCTCATTAATCCACTTTAACACATAAATATTCTCTAATGTTTCTGTCTAATTTTTCATCCAGTCAACCCTTTTGGTTGGCGACTGATGCTTGGTCCTCGTGCTCTTCGCTCTGCGGCCCAGGGCATGAACGGCGCATCTTCATCTGCGTCATCCAAAGCGTCTACGAGACATTAGAGCGGATGCCCAACGCAAAATGTTCAGGTCTGACTGATCCAAGTTATGACGACGTCAGAGCCAACCTCTCAGGACATCTGCGCCCCTGTAACTATGGTGACTGCTCCTCGAGTGTTGGAGACGTTGAGGCGGGATCAACGGTTACCAAAACTTCCGGAGCTTTGGGAAATTATCGTTGGCGTGTCTCGGAATGGGGCTTCTGCTCGCAGATATGTGGCAACGCAGGCACCATGTCACGTGATGTTGACTGTGTTTTCGTGTCGCCGTTGAAGCAGAGCTCAGATTTGTTGAGACGACGGCGAGCTGGACGAAACGGCGAAGCAGACGACTCCACAACTGATGCCAATGAACACGACGAAGTGTCCACTCTAGTGGTTGCACAGGGTGAAACTGGTGAAACCTTCCGATGCTCGCAGCACAACAGACCATCCCCATATGCGCCCTGCAATCGGTTCGGCTGTCATGGGGAATTTTACCCTGAAAAGTGGGACAAGGTGAGCTACAGGCTAGATCCAACCGATCCAACGAGGACAGGTCGACACACCTGCTCTCTTCAATATGTTAACGCCGCACGGAATTAAGGAAGCGTTGTTCGGCTCTTTGAAGGTTGGCACCGCACGAGAGCGTAGAGAATCACTTTTTATAAAAGGTTGCTTAAGGCTTCTGGACGTATCGTTACAAGAACTGCTAGTCAGCCTTGATCGGCTCTTGGTTCTATACAGCCTCCTTGAATAGCTTATCGTGTTTTGAAGCAAAATGATCCAAATCTAATTAAGAGATTTATACCCCAGGAGCAGTCTTGAGATCTAAAGAAAGTATAAAGGTTGTGTTCAAGTTGTGTAAATATTAGTAAGGTTAAGAAACTACTTGATCGTTTTGTGTGTTTCTGTTGAAAGTGGACGAGCAGAAGGATAGAAAGGGAAAATGAACGCACATCATTATACGCAATGAATACGAAATTACAGTCTATGGTGGCATTTATTCGAAGTCGCATCACATGTTGTACCGTAGATGCGATCTTCAAGGAAAGTCCGAAATAAGACTTTGCCTGTAGTGTAGACATTGCCTTATGCGGAGGTCCGACAAACCTGTACCATCACAGATGCAAAAGTGGGGAGTAACGGCGTACAAGAATGTGGCAACGTTAGAAGAGACTCGCTTTGCTGATCTCCAGCAGAGTAGCTGTTTCGGCTGAAGGGATCCGAGTTATAGATTACAATCGTGCAACTTGATTACCGGCCCCTGATTGGTTCGAAATGTCCCAGTCTGATAGGTCCAGGGACTTTTAATTGGTCGACCCATAAACATAGGGGGGGG